TTTCACATACTCAATCCCCTTTAAGCTATCAGCTATTTACCAAACACTTTCATATAATCAGTTTAATACAATAAGTTAGTCAAATCAGTTAATAAAATCAACTAGTCAAAATCAGCTAACTCAATCAGCTTCAGCTTTCAGCTTTCTCCCAAACAAAGCCTTTACCTTTTTACAAATCAGCTTATTTGCCCCAATCAGCTCGTTAAATAAGCTCTTTTACCAAACAGCCAAGTTAGATTATTTTTGTAGTCAAACCTCTAACTTGGTCAAATAAGCTCATTTTTTGGTCAAAACTCTAATTACCAAACATGGCTTGTATATTTGTAAGATGAACAACTAGTTAAGGGGGCAATCTTTCAAATGGGGAGAAGAAACTGGCAGATTCTGTAATTTATATTGCTGATTCAAAAGGACAAATTGTCCCCTTTGTACTCGATTATAAGCAGTTAATATACAAAGTATTATATTTCTAATAAAAAAAAAATCGTGCGAAGTGAATACCAACAATGTCTAGTCAGAGAATGGTGTTTATCATTGAAGTAGAGCTAAACTAGATAATGTATTAATTTGTTTCTCAATGGATCAATAAATAACACACTAAAAAACCCAATTTTTTGATACTGACTCTGTTAAAATTATTGACACAGTAGATCGGGCACAATTGCCAGCACAGAAGTTTGACCACCAATATCTCTAAATATACAAAGGAATAAGTAAAAGAGAAATCGATAGCTTAAAATATACATTGACAAACTTAACAACATTTATATGATAATTTTTGTTTCATCACATATTACTATATTAGTAACAAAATATGCTTAACGTAAGAATGCGAATAGTGCAAAGAGTCAAATTGTGTTAATTATTCTGAAACAGACATAGCATATTATTAGTTTACTACTTTACTCCTATAGTTTTACCTCATATTATTAGTTCACTCCTATAGTTTTACCTTCACATTGCTCTTCTTCCACCAAGAGTATAACATTAGTATAACACCTAGCAGGTTAAGGGACAAGGCTTATTGATTCAATTTCACTTGCAGTCTTGTAGACAACCTAATAAAGGTATTTTTTTTAAACACGCGCGCGCGCACACACATACACACATACACACAAAACTGAATTGTTATAAAGCGATTTGACAAACCTTAACGCCTTTACACCCATGTCAATTAGGTATGCCTGATGCTCCTCATTGCCATCACAGACTTGCTTTCAGTTCCTTAGTGTAGTAAACAATATCATCACGTATATGTCCTGCCCCAGCACATCTTTAAAGATAACGCAAACAAAATTTTAACATGACAAATCAAGTAAAAACAATGGCATTTCAATAAAAGTAATGGCTTAATAAGTTTCTTACAGTGCACATGATAACCAGAATTCCAAGGGCATGGAGGGAGGAGAGATTGGAGCAAAAAAGTAATAAAGCCGAGACAACAAATATATCTCTGAAAAATGGCTAACCCATAAGTTGGGTATCAAAACACCTCAAATGGCAATAATGCAATCGGTCTGTCCTCAACAACTAAACAAATAAATTATTAAGTAAAATTCAATTTTAATCAGTAAAAATCAATACTTCCTCTGTTCCACAAATAATGCAACAAGGATGAAATAACGCATCTCAAAGCACACTTTATATGCTGAATATCTATAATTAGATAAGAGTAAAAATTATAATAGTTGATATTGTGAAAGTATATTACGAGACGAATCTAAAAAAAACCCCACATGACTACATTTTACTTTATGTATAAGTCATAACACGTGATCAAACAAGTGTGATGAATAGAGTAAAAGTCCAGTTGTTGCAATAATACTAGAACGGAGGAAGTAAATAAGCAAGAGTTTATTTTATTAAGTAATTCAATTAAGTTAAATCAGCAAAAATAATTTAAATCAATAAAAGTAAATTAATTTTTTATCAATAAATGTAGATTTAGGTGAAGAGAGCAAGACCTTATTATGAAATGTCATCGAACATTGTAATTATCATATTGTCCTCTAAAAAAGCCCAAACTCATTTCCAATCAAATTTCTATAATATTTATGTGATTGATATTATTAACTCATCCCATTTGTCCCAAGCTAATTTTATCTATCCTGAAGTTATTAACTACAATAACTTATCATCTACTCCCTCCATTTTCTTGTAGCTACGCAAACCTAGAAAAAAAGGAAAAGGGGACCATGCATGTGGGTACTTTTTCTTTAAAGAGGAGAGAGATAAAGAGTATGGGTTTCATTAGATAAATTTGGGCCTTACAAAGTGGAGTTGTATAGGATGAAAAATTAATAAAAAGTTATCATAGTAAAACTGAGTTGAACTTAGCAAATAGAATGTAAACGGAAAACGAGTAGAGCTTAGAATGAAAAAGGAAGTACACATAAAAAAATCCACCATCTTAGCTCCAATTACATGTACCATTTCAATTTAAAATAATTGAAAAATACACATCATGATTGGTGTCAAAACTATTATGAAACGGTTGGAGTTTCAATAATAAACCTGGTTGCCTTAGTTTCAAGGCCATTTTAAAATGTAATACAAATGGACTTAACTCCAAAAGGATTTGTGACTAAAAAATTAGTTATAAATTTCTAGCATGTCTCTCCATTTACTGACCAAATCATCTAAAGTAATACCTACAAACCCCTTTGAAATCACCATGACACACAGCAAACAAGTACATTTCATCGGTCCATCCCAACAATCTGGTAGCCATGAAAAAGATAAAACTCTTAGTAAAATTGATAGTGCTTCCTAAACCCTAAACCCTAAACCCTAAACCCTAAACCCTAAACCCTATACCCGAAACCCTAAACCCTAACCTAAACCCTAAACCCTAAACCCTAAACCCGAAACCCTAAACCCTAAACCCTAAACCCGAAACCCTAAACCCTAACCCTAAACCCTAAACCCTAAACCCTAAACCCTAAACCCTAAACCCTAAACCCTAAACCCTAAACCCTAACTTTAAAAATCCTAAATAGGGACCATGTTAAGATTTTTGCAATTTTTATTTCTGGGCGATATTAGTCAAAAAAATTCCTAAATTTAAGGCTAATATCCACACATTTTGAGAAATTTCGAAGGTTTCAGGGCTAGGTGTCGAAAAGAAATGAGATTTTATTGAATACATTTTGGGGTCATATAATGACGTTTGAAACCATGAATGACCATTATATATTGTCATAAATGTTCGTGGTAGGCTTGAGTTAATGAAATAAGTACAAGTTGTAAACCAGTAAATTGCTCGTTTAAATGCAAATTGGATGTTCCACCCACCTAATTGGACTACGGAGGGTATTAGGAATCATGGTAAACATTTCGCCAATTTTTATTTTCAGGGCGAAAAAAAGTTAAAAAAAATTCCAAATTGAAGACTAATATCCACGCTTTTTCATAAAGTTTGGAGTATTCAGGGCCCGGTGTCTAAAAGTGTAAAATTTCTAGGGAATACATCTCGGAGTCATATAATGTCGTTTGGAACCATATGTGATCATTAATTATTTGTCATAAATGTTTCTTGTAGGCTTGAATTAATGAAATCGGTGCAAAGTTGTAAACCGGTTATTTTTTTGTCATAAATGTTCTTTGTAGGCTTGAGTTAATGAAATCGGGTGCAAGTTGTAAACCGGTAAATTGATCATTTAAAAGGAACTTGGATAGTGCCGCCCATATGAGATAAAATAATAAACTTTAGTGAAAGAATCACCCTAATAAACTTCATTCTAGGGAAAAAGCAACTTTTGTTCTTTAGAATTCTATGAAGACCTGACATTATTATCATAAACATGTAAGTAACTTTCGTGAATGAATCACAATAAAACCTTAAACAAGCTATTCTACATTTTGACTCGCTTTTGTGATTTATGATAATATATAGTCATATCTTTTATGCGGTTTTGTTTGAATCGTCTCGATATATATTTTATTAATATTCACTTTTTATTATTTTACAAAGTACTTGTATAAGATATAGATTTGTGAAGTTATCATTTTGAATTAAAACCTTCATTTTATGGAATAATCAACTTTCATTTTTTCAAATTTCAAAAAGACCGGGCTATATGTTGCAAAGTTGAGATTTCTATTAAGGACCTCAACTTTAAGGGAAAAATGAACTTTTATGTTTCAAAATTATAAGATGGCATGACTATATATCATGAAAATACAAAAAAACTTTTGTGAAAGAACACCATAAAGTATTTTACGAGTTTAGAGTCATGGGGTCGCAAATTCTAGATTCGATTCAAGACCTCAATTTTAAGGGGAAAAATGACCCCCTTTTTTTTTGGGTATTCTAAGAAGATGGGGCTTTATATCGTTTAAGTATACTATCGTAAAATATTAATCTTTTAAGGGCTTTATATGGTCACAAAGTTGAGATTTCGAAATTAAGGTCTCAATTTTAAGGGGATGATGATCTTTTGTTGCTTAGAATATTGATAAAACGTGACTTTTACATGGGATTATTCAACGGCTAAAATTAGAAAAAATTAAGTTTTAAAAAATAAATAAATAAACTAAATTTGAACTAAACATAGCCAAAGCCCAAAAGGCAAAGGACATTTTTCCAAAACAGAGAATATTAAATACTACAAACTTCAGAGGTTAAAGTTATCTTAATAGTATTTAAAAAGTTACTATTTTTCTAATAATAAATTCCATCTTACAAAAAACTTATAATGTGGTAGCTAATCATATTAATGTATCTAATTAGGTTGTCATTTCCCTCTATCTCTCCCCATTACATGCATCAATAATTGAGCGTGAGGGATAGCTCAAGTAGTTAGAGCTTCTCTTCCTATTCCAGGAAGTCTCGAGATCGACTCTCATCACCTGTCTTTATGGCTCTCTAAACACCAAAAACAAAACATGCATCCCTATTTTTCTCTCTATTTTACGCTTACAACAAATTATACTTAGAATTCCGTGCACACTCCAAAATTGCAAACAATATGAAATTGAGTTAGTATGTACAAATTTCATGACATCCGAAAACAGGACATTACATTTTTATTAGAAGATTGGATCGTAACCTTGTCAACAAGACTAATGTAAATTTTTCAGGCAAATTAAATGCAAGAAATACATGACAAAATAACTTTGTACAATCTATTCACATGCAGAAAATAACTTTATATAAAAGAATATTGTTATTGTTTTGAAATTATTTATCAATTCTAAGGTGATCACAGAGATAGCCCAGTTCAGGCCGAGAATCCATCCAACTTGAGAATGTAGTCTCAGCTCCATCAACACAATAAAGGTACGACCTCAATGTTATCAGAAAAAAATACCTCCTGCAAATTGAATTAGGAAAATTATTTTGCAGTTAAAGAGAGAGATCTTGTACTGTAGCAGCAGCAACAACAACAAAACAATACAGTCTTAGTCCCAAAATGATTTGAGATTGGCTAAAATGAATCGTCATAAGAAACCGTCTGAAAAAATAAAAGATAGAAAATAATTGATTGAATAAAATAAAAGAGGGAAAACAGTGTAGAGTGAAAAACAGTTTCAGTTTTTTAAGAGTTTAAAAGGAGTGGTGAAGGGATAAAAAGGAGAAAAAAAAAACATAAAAAATTGAGAAAACATTAACAAAGGAAACAAGTAAAGCTTGAAAAACACAAATTATTTAAGTAAATTAATATAAAATAAACAAAAAAAAGGGGATAAAAAAGTAGGAAAAAAAATAAAAGCGTCCTTGACATGATCACTGAAACAAATAATAGGAATATATATATATATATATATATATATATATATATATAATATATATATATATATTATATATATATATATATTATTATATATATATATATATATATTATATATATATATATATGCTTCGTATTAGAAACGGATCAAAGGAAACAATAGAAGAAATTATAATAGCATGATCCAATGGAAGAACCCAAATTTACAAAGATAAATAGCAGAAACACAATTAAACTTATACCAAGGGAAACGAGTCACATTATAGCAGACATGGCTGGTATACGGAACATGAAGAGCATTATATCTCAGATTCTTGGTACAACCCATATGCTAATATTGGAGCAAGTACAACTGTACAAGACAACTAAATGTCCATATTTGTGCGGTTGTGCCCCATCTTACTGCAAATTTCTCCATTTCGTGAGCCACATACGTCTCAAATTTTTATCATTATAAATTCATCAATGACGCAATCCCAACTACCACCATCTCATTAAGTAACCTTTAATCATCTTTGCTTTCAAGGAAAAATGAACATCTTAAACTATGCTTAACCTCCTTCAAATAGCCCTAGCTTTTGATTAATAGGAATAATCCCAAGTGCCCCAAATTCAGGGGTGCCTTCCTCTAAAAAGATCAACATACGTGGCATCATGTAGTCGGCCTTGGCTCCCTTTTATATTTTTTTCATAATCAATTCCTCTATTACCTCCTTTTTCTTCATAGACCACAAGCTCACAGCCTTAACACCATCCTCTACCTCATCCCACTCTCTTCTCCCCCTTACCCCTCCGTAAGCATATAGACAACCCTAAACAAATTCCCATCTTCAGCCACTTGCACATAAATACGCCTCCTACACTTCATGCTTTTTTTCAAAAAAAAACAAGTCTTGATTTTGAGAGGCATATGAGATAGTATTATGAAGTGGAATTAATTTTTGATGCAACGATGGATTAATATTGATCCAATGCACATCATGGTATCCCTTCATATAAAATTAAAATAACCACACACAAGATTTTAGAGACTTTGGTTGCTAGTTGATGTCTTAGATAGCCGAATTTGATGTTTCCACTGCTATTGCCTATAATGCCAATATTGGCTTATAATTGACATCTATTTATTTTTATCAAAGTGTTTTTTTTCCCCTCCTGCAAGGTGGTGAGTGAGTCGCTTCTGCTTATAAGACTAGATATGTATCACCATTGAAAAAAAATCCTCTGCTCTAGGCAGATTATTGAGGGTTTTTTTTTTTTTTTTTTCTTTTTTGGTGTCTGGTGTTGACGGTAATGGTTTAGAAAGAAAGGGGTGCGGGAAAGTCGGGCTAAGGGATTGGGGTTTCACCGTCAATTGGTGGTCATAATAGTGGTGAGGAAAGAAGAGGGAGCCTGAAGACAGGCCAGGCGAGGGGTGATTCACCAGAGTGAGAAGGGAAAGAAATATGGAGTACTTTCGAAATTTTTTAGAAAAGAGGAGAGGACTAATGAGGATTAATATTGATCCAATGCACATCATGGTATCCCTTCATATAAAATTAAAATAACCACACACAAGATTTTAGAGACTTTGGTTGCTAGTTGATGTCTTAGATAGCCGAATTTGATGTTTCCACTGCTATTGCCTATAATGCCAATATTGGCTTATAATTGACATCTATTTATTTTTATCAAAGTGTTTTTTTCCCCTCCTGCAAGGTGGTGAGTGAGTCGCTTCTGCTTATAAGACTAGATATGTATCACCATTGAAAAAAATCCTCTGCTCTAGGCAGATTATTGAGGGTTTTTTTTTTTTTTTTTTTCTTTTTTGGTGTCTGGTGTTGACGGTAATGGTTTAGAAAGAAAGGGGTGCGGGAAAGTCGGGCTAAGGGATTGGGGTTTCACCGTCAATTGGTGGTCATAATAGTGGTGAGGAAAGAAGAGGGAGCCTGAAGACAGGCCAGGCGAGGGGTGATTCACCAGAGTGAGAAGGGAAAGAAATATGGAGTACTTTCGAAATTTTTTAGAAAAGAGGAGAGGACTAATGAGGATTAATATTGATCCAATGCACATCATGGTATCCCTTCATATAAAATTAAAATAACCACACACAAGATTTTAGAGACTTTGGTTGCTAGTTGATGTCTTAGATAGCCGAATTTGATGTTTCCACTGCTATTGCCTATAATGCCAATATTGGCTTATAATTGACATCTATTTATTTTTATCAAAGTGTTTTTTTCCCCTCCTGCAAGGTGGTGAGTGAGTCGCTTCTGCTTATAAGACTAGATATGTATCACCATTGAAAAAAATCCTCTGCTCTAGGCAGATTATTGATGGGTTTTTTTTTTTTTTTTTTTTTTTGGTGTCTGGTGTTGACGGTAATGGTTTAGAAAGAAAGGGGTGCGGGAAAGTCGGGCTAAGGGATTGGGGTTTCACCGTCAATTGGTGGTCATAATAGTGGTGAGGAAGGAAGAGGGAGCCTGAAGACAGGCCAGGCGAGGGATGATTCACCAGAGTGAGAAGGGAAAGAAATATGGAGTACTTTCGAAATTTTTTAGAAAAGAGGAGAGGACTAATGAGGATTAATATTGATCCAATGCACATCATGGTATCCCTTCATATAAAATTAAAATAACCACACACAAGATTTTAGAGACTTTGGTTGCTAGTTGATGTCTTAGATAGCCGAATTTGATGTTTCCACTGCTATTGCCTATAATGTCAATATTGGCTTATAATTGACATCTATTTATTTTTATCAAAGTGTTTTTTTCCCCTCCTGCAAGGTGGTGAGTGAGTCGCTTCTGCTTATAAGACTAGATATGTATCACCATTGAAAAAAATCCTCTGCTCTAGGCAGATTATTGATGGGTTTTTTTTTTTTTTTTTTTTTTTTTGGTGTCTGGTGTTGACGGTAATGGTTTAGAAAGAAAGGGGTGCGGGAAAGTCGGGCTAAGGGATTGGGGTTTCACCGTCAATTGGTGGTCATAATAGTGGTGAGGAAGGAAGAGGGAGCCTGAAGACAGGCCAGGCGAGGGGTGATTCACCAGAGTGAGAAGGGAAAGAAATATGGAGTACTTTCGAAATTTTTTAGAAAAGAGGAGAGGACTAATGAGGATTAATATTGATCCAATGCACATCATGGTATCCCTTCATATAAAATTAAAATAACCACACACAAGATTTTAGAGACTTTGGTTGCTAGTTGATGTCTTAGATAGCCGAATTTGATGTTTCCACTGCTATTGCCTATAATGCCAATATTGGCTTATAATTGACATCTATTTATTTTTATCAAAGTGTTTTTTTTCCCCTCCTGCAAGGTGGTGAGTGAGTCGCTTCTGCTTATAAGACTAGATATGTATCACCATTGAAAAAAATCCTCTGCTCTAGGCAGATTATTGATGGTTTTTTTTTTTTTTTTTTTTTTGGTGTCTGGTATTGACGGTAATGGTTTAGAAAGAAAGGGGTGCGGGAAAGTCGGGCTAAGGGATTGGGGTTTCACCGTCAATTGGTGGTCATAATAGTGGTGAGGAAGGAAGAGGGAGCCTGAAGACAGGCCAGGCGAGGGGTGATTCACCAGAGTGAGAAGGGAAAGAAATATGGAGTACTTTCGAAATTTTTTAGAAAAGAGGAGAGGACTAATGAGGACTAATATTGATCCAATGCACATCATGGTATCCCTTCATATAAAATTAAAATAACCACACACAAGATTTTAGAGACTTTGGTTGCTAGTTGATGTCTTAGATAGCCGAATTTGATGTTTCCACTGCTATTGCCTATAATGCCAATATTGGCTTATAATTGACATCTATTTATTTTTATCAAAGTGATTTTTTCCCCTCCTGCAAGGTGGTGAGTGAGTCGCTTCTGCTTATAAGACTAGATATGTATCACCATTGAAAAAAATCCTCTGCTCTAGGCAGATTATTGATGGGTTTTTTTTTTTTTTTTTTTTTGGTGTCTGGTGTTGACGGTAATGGTTTAGAAAGAAAGGGGTGCGGGAAAGTCGGGCTAAGGGATTGGGGTTTCACCGTCAATTGGTGGTCATAATAGTGGTGAGGAAGGAAGAGGGAGCCTGAAGACAGGCCAGGCGAGGGGTGATTCACCAGAGTGAGAAGGGAAAGAAATATGGAGTACTTTCGAAATTTTTTAGAAAAGAGGAGGACTAATGAGGATGTGCCACATGGCACTTTAAGTTGCTTAACAAAATGTAGGCAATGAGAGCATTTTGGAAAAACATTCAAAAAGCTGAGACTTGAGACAATAGTTTGGATAATAATGTCCGACTTTTTTTTTTTTTTTTATGAAGCAATAATGTTCGACTATTTGTATAGCTAGTGTGTGGTTCCAGACGTTGTCTTGGCTGTCACTTGTTTTTTATTACCTCGTATGATCTTGTGAAAAATAAATAAATTATATAACCTCTAATATTGTCACATGACGCATATATATACTTTGAAAAGTAACGCCTTTTAAGATATAGTATAGATTTAGACCAAAAAAGAGGATATAGATAGTACAAGGAAATATCAAAATTATAGAAGAAAAATGGGAGCAAGATTATGGAAGAGTGCTTAGTTTGTTCTTAAAGCAAAACTATTTAAATTGCAATTTTCTTAACACTTTCTGAAAAGAAAAATCAGTTGTGCATGAGCACAAAGTAGATATTGGATGAAAAAAACAAAGTCATTAAATAAACAATAGAGATTGTGGCCCTGTTTGGTAATTAGCGGAAGCTGATTGATAGAAGTTTATTTCATTAGCTGGTTGTATTAGCTTGTTTGACTAGCTGATTGTATTAATTTGTTTGTATAAAGTTGTTTGGTAAAATTAGCTGATTAGGTATAGTTGTTTTGTTAGTTGAACATATTAAATGACAATTTTAGACATTAACATTTTTTTTAACGGCATTGACATTGTAAATTAGATTAACTTTTTAGGATAAGAGTGTCATTTGGCAACCATATCTCAATCAGCTAATATGAAAAAGCTCTAGCTTTTGGCCTTGTTTGGTAGTAAGCTTATTGGGGGTATATTAGCTTATTTGACTAACTTTAGCTGATTGACTAGTCAAACAAGATAATACAAGTGTTTGGTAGTAAGCTTATTGAAAGAGCTTATTCCACTAAATAAGCTCTTTTTGAAAAAGCTCATTTTAGGAGCTTTTTCAATAAGCTTATTCATTAATTATTGTGAAATGACACTTATAACCTCATTTAATTTGAAATCCTATATAAACTACCTACCCCACAATTAGCTTATTGGTCATTTCACATACTCAATCCCCTTTAAGCTATCAGCTATTTACCAAACACTTTCATATAATCAGTTAATACAATAAGTTAGTCAAATCAGTTAATAAAAATCAACTAGTCAAAATCAGCTAACTCAATCAGCTTCAGCTTTCAGCTTTCTCCCAAACAAAGCCTTTACCTTTTTACAAATCAGCTTATTTGCCCCAATCAGCTCGTTAAATAAGCTCTTTTACCAAACAGCCAAGTTAGATTATTTTTGTAGTCAAACCTCTAACTTGGTCAAATAAGCTCATTTTTGGTCAAAACTCTAATTACCAAACATGGCTTGTATATTTGTAAGATGAACAACTAGTTAAGGGGGCAATCTTTCAAATGGGGAGAAGAAACTGGCAGATTCTGTAATTTATATTGCTGATTCAAAAGGACAAATTGTCCCTTTGTACTCGATTATAAGCAGTTAATATACAAAGTATTATATTTCTAATAAAAAAAAATCGTGCGAAGTGAATACCAACAATGTCTAGTCAGAGAATGGTGTTTATCATTGAAGTAGAGCTAAACTAGATAATGTATTAATTTGTTTCTCAATGGATCAATAAATAACACACTAAAAACCCAATTTTTTGATACTGACTCTGTTAAAATTATTGACACAGTAGATCGGGCACAATTGCCAGCACAGAAGTTTGACCACCAATATCTCTAAATATACAAAGGAATAAGTAAAAGAGAAATCGATAGCTTAAAATATACATTGACAAACTTAACAACATTTATATGATAATTTTTGTTTCATCACATATTACTATATTAGTAACAAAATATGCTTAACGTAAGAATGCGAATAGTGCAAAGAGTCAAATTGTGTTAATTATTCTGAAACAGACATAGCATATTATTAGTTTACTACTTTACTCCTATAGTTTTACCTCATATTATTAGTTCACTCCTATAGTTTTACCTTCACATTGCTCTTCTTCCACCAAGAGTATAACATTAGTATAACACCTAGCAGGTTAAGGGACAAGGCTTATTGATTCAATTTCACTTGCAGTCTTGTAGACAACCTAATAAAGGTATTTTTTTTAAACACGCGCGCGCGCACACACATACACACATACACACAAAACTGAATTGTTATAAAGCGATTTGACAAACCTTAACGCCTTTACACCCATGTCAATTAGGTATGCCTGATGCTCCTCATTGCCATCACAGACTTGCTTCAGTTCCTTAGTGTAGTAAACAATATCATCACGTATATGTCCTGCCCCAGCACATCTTTAAAGATAACGCAAACAAAATTTTAACATGACAAATCAAGTAAAAACAATGGCATTTCAATAAAGTAATGGCTTAATAAGTTTCTTACAGTGCACATGATAACCAGAATTCCAAGGGCATGGAGGGGAGGGAGAGATTGGAGCAAAAAAGTAATAAAGCCGAGACAACAAATATATCTCTGAAAAATGGCTAACCCATAAGTTGGGTATCAAACACCTCAAATGGCAATAATGCAATCGGTCTGTCCTCAACAACTAAACAAATAAATTATTAAGTAAAATTCAATTTTAATCAGTAAAAATCAATACTTCCTCTGTTCCACAAATAATGCAACAAGGATGAAATAACGCATCTCAAAGCACACTTTATATGCTGAATATCTATAATTAGATAAGAGTAAAAATTATAATAGTTGATATTGTGAAAGTATATTACGAGACGAATCTAAAAAAAACCCCACATGACTACATTTTACTTTATGTATAAGTCATAACACGTGATCAAACAAGTGTGATGAATAGAGTAAAAGTCCAGTTGTTGCAATAATACTAGAACGGAGGAAGTAAATAAGCAAGAGTTTATTTTATTAAGTAATTCAATTAAGTTAAATCAGCAAAAATAATTTAAATCAATAAAAGTAAATTAATTTTTTATCAATAAATGTAGATTTAGGTGAAGAGAGCAAGACCTTATTATGAAATGTCATCGAACATTGTAATTATCATATTGTCCTCTAAAAAAGCCCAAACTCATTTCCAATCAAATTTCTATAATATTTATGTGATTGATATTATTAACTCATCCCATTTGTCCCAAGCTAATTTTATCTATCCTGAAGTTATTAACTACAATAACTTATCATCTACTCCCTCCATTTTCTTGTAGCTACGCAAACCTAGAAAAAAAGGAAAAGGGGACCATGCATGTGGGTACTTTTTCTTTAAAGAGGAGAGAGATAAAGAGTATGGGTTTCATTAGATAAATTTGGGCCTTACAAAGTGGAGTTGTATAGGATGAAAAATTAATAAAAAGTTATCATAGTAAAACTGAGTTGAACTTAGCAAATAGAATGTAAACGGAAAACGAGTAGAGCTTAGAATGAAAAAGGAAGTACACATAAAAAAATCCACCATCTTAGCTCCAATTACATGTACCATTTCAATTTAAAATAATTGAAAAATACACATCATGATTGGTGTCAAAACTATTATGAAACGGTTGGAGTTTCAATAATAAACCTGGTTGCCTTAGTTTCAAGGCCATTTTAAAATGTAATACAAATGGACTTAACTCCAAAAGGATTTGTGACTAAAAAATTAGTTATAAATTTCTAGCATGTCTCTCCATTTACTGACCAAATCATCTAAAGTAATACCTACAAACCCCTTTGAAATCACCATGACACACAGCAAACAAGTACATTTCATCGGTCCATCCCAACAATCTGGTAGCCATGAAAAAGATAAAACTCTTAGTAAAATTGATAGTGCTTCCTAAACCCTAAACCCTAAACCCTAAACCCTAAACCCTAAACCCTATACCACCCGAAACCCTAAACCCTAAACCCTAAACCCTAAACCCTAAACCCGAAACCCTAAAACCCTAAACCCTAAACCCGAAAACCCTAAACCCTAAACCCTAAACCCTAAACCCTAAACCCTAAACCCTAAACCCTAAACCCTAAACCCTAAACCCTAAACCCTAACTTTAAAAATCCTAAATAGGGACCATGTTAAGATTTTTGCAATTTTTATTTCTGGGCGATATTAGTCAAAAAAATTCCTAAATTTAAGGCTAATATCCACACATTTTGAGAAATTTCGAAGGTTTCAGGGCTAGGTGTCGAAAAGAAATGAGATTTTATTGAATACATTTTGGGGTCATATAATGACGTTTGAAACCATGAATGACCATTATATATTGTCATAAATGTTCGTGGTAGGCTTGAGTTAATGAAATAAGTACAAGTTGTAAACCAGTAAATTGCTCGTTTAAATGCAAATTGGATGGTTCCACCCACCTAATTGGACTACCGGAGGGTATTAGGAATCATGGTAAACATTTCGCCAATTTTTATTTTCAGGCGAAAAAAAGTTAAAAAAAATTCCAAAATTGAAGACTAATATCCACGCTTTTTCATAAAGTTTGGAGTATTCAGGGCCCGGTGTCTAAAAGTGTAAAATTTCTAGGGAATACATCTCGGAGTCATATAATGTCGTTTGGAACCATATGTGATCATTAATTATTTGTCATAAATGTTTCTTGTAGGCTTGAATTAATGAAATCGGTGCAAAGTTTGTAAACCGGTTATTTTTTTGTCATAAATGTTCTTTGTAGGCTTGAGTTAATGAAATCGGTGCAAGTTGTAAACCGGTAAATTGATCATTTAAAAGGAACTTGGATAGTGCCGCCCATATGAGATAAAATAATAAACTTTAGTGAAAGAATCACCCTAATAAACTTCATTCTAGGGAAAAAGCAACTTTTGTTCTTTAGAATTCTATGAAGACCTGACATTATTATCATAAACATGTAAGTAACTTTCGTGAATGAATCACAATAAAACCTTAAACAAGCTATTCTACATTTTGACTCGCTTTTGTGATTTATGATAATATATAGTCATATCTTTTATGCGGTTTTGTTTGAATCGTCTCGATATATATTTTATTAATATTCACTTTTTTATTATTTTACAAAGTACTTGTATAAGATATAGATTTGTGAAGTTATCATTTTGAATTAAAACCTTCATTTTATGGAATAATCAACTTTCATTTTTTCAAATTTCAAAAAGACCGGGCTATATGTTGCAAAGTTGAGATTTCTATTAAGGACCTCAACTTTAAGGGAAAAATGAACTTTTATGTTTCAAAATTATAAGATGGCATGACTATATATCATGAAAATACAAAAAAACTTTTGTGAAAGAACACCATAAAGTATTTTACGAGTTTAGAGTCATGGGGTCGCAAATTCTAGATTCGATTCAAGACCTCAATTTTAAGGGGAAAAATGACCCCCTTTTTTTTTGGGTATTCTAAGAAGATGGGGCTTTATATCGTTTAAGTATACTATCGTAAAATATTAATCTTTTAAGGGCTTTATATGGTCACAAAGTTGAGATTTCGAATTAAGGTCTCAATTTTAAGGGGATGATGATCTTTTGTTGCTTAGAATATTGATAAAACGTGACTTTTACATGGGATTATTCAACGGCTAAAATTAGAAAAATTAAGTTTTAAAAAATAAATAAATAAACTAAATTTGAACTAAACATAGCCAAAGCCCAAAAGGCAAAGGACATTTTTCCAAAACAGAGAATATTAAATACTACAAACTTCAGAGGTTAAAGTTATCTTAATAGTATTTAAAAAGTTACTATTTTTCTAATAATAAATTCCATCTTACAAAAAACTTATAATGTGGTAGCTAATCATATTAATGTATCTAATTAGGTTGTCATTTCCCTCTATCTCTCCCCATTACATGCATCAATAATTGAGCGTGAGGGATAGCTCAAGTAGTTAGAGCTTCTCTTCCTATTCCAGGAAGTCTCGAGATCGACTCTCATCACCTGTCTTTATGGCTCTCTAAACACCAAAAACAAACATGCATCCCTATTTTTCTCTCTATTTTACGCTTACAACAAATTATACTTAGAATTCCGTGCACACTCCAAAATTGCAAACAATATGAAATTGAGTTAGTATGTACAAATTTCATGACATCCGAAAACAGGACATTACATTTTTATTAGAAGATTGGATCGTAACCTTGTCAACAAGACTAATGTAAATTTTTCAGGCAAATTAAATGCAAGAAATACATGACAAAATAACTTTGTACAATCTATTCACATGCAGAAAATAACTTTATATAAAAGAATATTGTTATTGTTTTGAAATTATTTATCAATTCTAAGGTGATCACAGAGATAGCCCAGTTCAGGCCGAGAATCCATCCAACTTGAGAATGTAGTCTCAGCTCCATCAACACAATAAAGGTACGACCTCAATGTTATCAGAAAAAAATACCTCCTGCAAATTGAATTAGGAAAATTATTTTGCAGTTAAAGAGAGAGATCTTGTACTGTAGCAGCAGCAACAACAACAAAACAATACAGTCTTAGTCCCAAAATGATTTGAGATTGGCTAAAATGAATCGTCATAAGAAACCGTCTGAAAAAATAAAAGATAGAAAATAATTGATTGAATAAAATAAAAGAGGGAAAACAGTGTAGAGTGAAAAACAGTTTCAGTTTTTTAAGAGTTTAAAAGGAGTGGTGAAGGGATAAAAAGGAGAAAAAAAAAACATAAAAAATTGAGAAAACATTAACAAAGGAAACAAGTAAAGCTTGAAAAACACAAATTATTTAAGTAAATTAATATAAAATAAACAAAAAAAAGGGGATAAAAAAGTAGGAAAAAAAATAAAAGCGTCCTTGACATGATCACTGAAACAAATAATAGGAATATATATATATATATATATATATATATATAATATATATATATATATATATTATATATATAATATATATATATATATATTATATATATATATATATATATATGCTTCGTATTAGAAACGGATCAAAGGAAACAATAGAAGAAATTATAATAGCATGATCCAATGGAAGAACCCAAATTTACAAAGATAAATAGCAGAAACACAATTAAACTTATACCAAGGGAAACGAGTCACATTATAGCAGACATGGCTGGTATACGGAACATGAAGAGCATTATATCTCAGATTCTTGGTACAACCCATATGCTAATATTGGAGCAAGTACAACTGTACAAGACAACTAAATGTCCATATTTGTGCGGTTGTGCCCCATCTTACTGCAAATTTCTCCATTTCGTGAGCCACATACGTCTCAAATTTTTATCATTATAAATTCATCAATGACGCAATCCCAACTACCACCATCTCATTAAGTAACCTTTAATCATCTTTGCTTTCAAGGAAAAATGAACATCTTAAACTATGCTTAACCTCCTTCAAATAGCCCTAGCTTTTGATTAATAGGAATAATCCCAAGTGCCCCAAATTCAGGGGTGCCTTCCTCTAAAAAGATCAACATACGTGGCATCATGTAGTCGGCCTTGGCTCCCTTTTATATTTTTTTCATAATCAATTCCTCTATTACCTCCTTTTTCTTCATAGACCACAAGCTCACAGCCTTAACACCATCCTCTACCTCATCCCACTCTCTTCTCCCCCTTACCCCTCCGTAAGCATATAGACAACCCTAAACAAATTCCCATCTTCAGCCACTTGCACATAAATACGCCTCCTACACTTCATGCTTTTTTTCAAAAAAAACAAGTCTTGATTTTGAGAGGCATATGAGATAGTATTATGAAGTGGAATTAATTTTTGATGCAACGATGGATTAATATTGATCCAATGCACATCATGGTATCCCTTCATATAAAATTAAAATAACCACACACAAGATTTTAGAGACTTTGGTTGCTAGTTGATGTCTTAGATAGCCGAATTTGATGTTTCCACTGCTATTGCCTATAATGCCAATATTGGCTTATAATTGACATCTATTTATTTTTATCAAAGTGTTTTTTTCCCCTCCTGCAAGGTGGTGAGTGAGTCGCTTCTGCTTATAAGACTAGATATGTATCACCATTGAAAAAAAATCCTCTGCTCTAGGCAGATTATTGAGGGTTTTTTTTTTTTTTTTTTTCTTTTTTGGTGTCTGGTGTTGACGGTAATGGTTTAGAAAGAAAGGGGTGCGGGAAAGTCGGGCTAAGGGATTGGGGTTTCACCGTCAATTGGTGGTCATAATAGTGGTGAGGAAAGAAGAGGGAGCCTGAAGACAGGCCAGGCGAGGGGTGATTCACCAGAGTGAGAAGGGAAAGAAATATGGAGTACTTTCGAAATTTTTTTAGAAAAGAGGAGAGGACTAATGAGGATTAATATTGATCCAATGCACATCATGGTATCCCTTCATATAAAATTAAAATAACCACACACAAGATTTTAGAGACTTTGGTTGCTAGTTGATGTCTTAGATAGCCGAATTTGATGTTTCCACTGCTATTGCCTATAATGCCAATATTGGCTTATAATTGACATCTATTTATTTTTATCAAAGTGTTTTTTTCCCCTCCTGCAAGGTGGTGAGTGAGTCGCTTCTGCTTATAAGACTAGATATGTATCACCATTGAAAAAAATCCTCTGCTCTAGGCAGATTATTGAGGGTTTTTTTTTTTTTTTTTTTCTTTTTTGGTGTCTGGTGTTGACGGTAATGGTTTAGAAAGAAAGGGGTGCGGGAAAGTCGGGCTAAGGGATTGGGGTTTCACCGTCAATTGGTGGTCATAATAGTGGTGAGGAAAGAAGAGGGAGCCTGAAGACAGGCCAGGCGAGGGGTGATTCACCAGAGTGAGAAGGGAAAGAAATATGGAGTACTTTCGAAATTTTTTAGAAAAGAGGAGAGGACTAATGAGGATTAATATTGATCCAATGCACATCATGGTATCCCTTCATATAAAATTAAAATAACCACACACAAGATTTTAGAGACTTTGGTTGCTAGTTGATGTCTTAGATAGCCGAATTTGATGTTTCCACTGCTATTGCCTATAATGCCAATATTGGCTTATAATTGACATCTATTTATTTTTATCAAAGTGTTTTTTTCCCCTCCTGCAAGGTGGTGAGTGAGTCGCTTCTGCTTATAAGACTAGATATGTATCACCATTGAAAAAAATCCTCTGCTCTAGGCAGATTATTGATGGGTTTTTTTTTTTTTTTTTTTTTTTGGTGTCTGGTGTTGACGGTAATGGTTTAGAAAGAAAGGGGTGCGGGAAAGTCGGGCTAAGGGATTGGGGTTTCACCGTCAATTGGTGGTCATAATAGTGGTGAGGAAGGAAGAGGGAGCCTGAAGACAGGCCAGGCGAGGGATGATTCACCAGAGTGAGAAGGGAAAGAAATATGGAGTACTTTCGAAATTTTTTAGAAAAGAGGAGAGGACTAATGAGGATTAATATTGATCCAATGCACATCATGGTATCCCTTCATATAAAATTAAAATAACCACACACAAGATTTTAGAGACTTTGGTTGCTAGTTGATGTCTTAGATAGCCGAATTTGATGTTTCCACTGCTATTGCCTATAATGTCAATATTGGCTTATAATTGACATCTATTTATTTTTATCAAAGTGTTTTTTTCCCCTCCTGCAAGGTGGTGAGTGAGTCGCTTCTGCTTATAAGACTAGATATGTATCACCATTGAAAAAAATCCTCTGCTCTAGGCAGATTATTGATGGGTTTTTTTTTTTTTTTTTTTTTTTTTGGTGTCTGGTGTTGACGGTAATGGTTTAGAAAGAAAGGGGTGCGGGAAAGTCGGGCTAAGGGATTGGGGTTTCACCGTCAATTGGTGGTCATAATAGTGGTGAGGAAGGAAGAGGGAGCCTGAAGACAGGCCAGGCGAGGGGTGATTCACCAGAGTGAGAAGGGAAAGAAATATGGAGTACTTTCGAATTTTTTAGAAAAGAGGAGAGGACTAATGAGGATTAATATTGATCCAATGCACATCATGGTATCCCTTCATATAAAATTAAAATAACCACACACAAGATTTTAGAGACTTTGGTTGCTAGTTGATGTCTTAGATAGCCGAATTTGATGTTTCCACTGCTATTGCCTATAATGCCAATATTGGCTTATAATTGACATCTATTTATTTTTATCAAAGTGTTTTTTTTCCCCTCCTGCAAGGTGGTGAGTGAGTCGCTTCTGCTTATAAGACTAGATATGTATCACCATTGAAAAAAAATCCTCTGCTCTAGGCAGATTATTGATGGTTTTTTTTTTTTTTTTTTTTTTTGGTGTCTGGTATTGACGGTAATGGTTTAGAAAGAAAGGGGTGCGGGAAAGTCGGGCTAAGGGATTGGGGTTTCACCGTCAATTGGTGGTCATAATAGTGGTGAGGAAGGAAGAGGGAGCCTGAAGACAGGCCAGGCGAGGGTGATTCACCAGAGTGAGAAGGGAAAGAAATATGGAGTACTTTCGAAATTTTTTAGAAAAGAGGAGAGGACTAATGAGGACTAATATTGATCCAATGCACATCATGGTATCCCTTCATATAAAATTAAAATAACCACACACAAGATTTTAGAGACTTTGGTTGCTAGTTGATGTCTTAGATAGCCGAATTTGATGTTTCCACTGCTATTGCCTATAATGCCAATATTGGCTTATAATTGACATCTATTTATTTTTATCAAAGTGATTTTTTCCCCTCCTGCAAGGTGGTGAGTGAGTCGCTTCTGCTTATAAGACTAGATATGTATCACCATTGAAAAAAATCCTCTGCTCTAGGCAGATTATTGATGGGTTTTTTTTTTTTTTTTTTTTTTTGGTGTCTGGTGTTGACGGTAATGGTTTAGAAAGAAAGGGGTGCGGGAAAGTCGGGCTAAGGGATTGGGGTTTCACCGTCAATTGGTGGTCATAATAGTGGTGAGGAAGGAAGAGGGAGCCTGAAGACAGGCCAGGCGAGGGGTGATTCACCAGAGTGAGAAGGGAAAGAAATATGGAGTACTTTCGAAATTTTTTTAGAAAAGAGGAGGACTAATGAGGATGTGCCACATGGCACTTTAAGTTGCTTAACAAAATGTAGGCAATGAGAGCATTTTGGAAAAACATTCAAAAAGCTGAGACTTGAGACAATAGTTTGGATAATAATGTCCGACTTTTTTTTTTTTTTTTTTATGAAGCAATAATGTTCGACTATTTGTATAGCTAGTGTGTGGTTCCAGACGTTGTCTTGGCTGTCACTTGTTTTTTATTACCTCGTATGATCTTGTGAAAAATAAATAAATTATATAACCTCTAATATTGTCACATGACGCATATATATACTTTGAAAAGTAACGCCTTTTAAGATATAGTATAGATTTAGACCAAAAAAGAGGATATAGATAGTACAAGGAAATATCAAAATTATAGAAGAAAAAATGGGAGCAAGATTATGGAAGAGTGCTTAGTTTGTTCTTAAAGCAAAAACTATTTAAATTGCAATTTTCTTAACACTTTCTGAAAAGAAAAATCAGTTGTGCATGAGCACAAAGTAGATATTGGATGAAAAAAACAAAGTCATTAAATAAACAATAGAGATTGTGGCCCTGTTTGGTAATTAGCGGAAGCTGATTGATAGAAGTTTATTTCATTAGCTGGTTGTATTAGCTTGTTTGACTAGCTGATTGTATTAATTTGTTTGTATAAAGTTGTTTGGTAAAATTAGCTGATTAGGTATAGTTGTTTTTGTTAGTTGAACATATTAAATGACAATTTTAGACATTAACATTTTTTTTAACGGCATTGACATTGTAAATTAGATTAACTTTTTAGGATAAGAGTGTCATTTGGCAACCATATCTCAATCAGCTAATATGAAAAAGCTCTAGCTTTTGGCCTTGTTTGGTAGTAAGCTTATTGGGGGTATATTAGCTTATTTGACTAACTTTAGCTGATTGACTAGTCAAACAAGATAATACAAGTGTTTGGTAGTAAGCTTATTGAAAGAGCTTATTCCACTAAATAAGCTCTTTTTGAAAAAGCTCATTTTAGGAGCTTTTTCAATAAGCTTATTCATTAATTATTGTGAAATGACACTTATAACCTCATTTAATTTGAAATCCTATATAAACTACCTACCCCACAATTAGCTTATTGGTCATTTCACATACTCAATCCCCTTTAAGCTATCAGCTATTTACCAAACACTTTCATATAATCAGTTAATACAATAAGTTAGTCAAATCAGTTAATAAAATCAACTAGTCAAAATCAGCTAACTCAATCAGCTTCAGCTTTCAGCTTTCTCCCAAACAAAGCCTTTACCTTTTTACAAATCAGCTTATTTGCCCCAATCAGCTCGTTAAATAAGCTCTTTTACCAAACAGCCAAGTTAGATTATTTTTGTAGTCAAACCTCTAACTTGGTCAAATAAGCTCATTTTTGGTCAAAACTCTAATTACCAAACATGGCTTGTATATTTGTAAGATGAACAACTAGTTAAGGGGGCAATCTTTCAAATGGGGAGAAGAAAACTGGCAGATTCTGTAATTTATATTGCTGATTCAAAAGGACAAATTGTCCCCTTTGTACTCGATTATAAGCAGTTAATATACAAAGTATTATATTTCTAATAAAAAAAAATCGTGCGAAGTGAATACCAACAATGTCTAGTCAGAGAATGGTGTTTATCATTGAAGTAGAGCTAAACTAGATAATGTATTAATTTGTTTCTCAATGGATCAATAAATAACACACTAAAAACCCAATTTTTTGATACTGACTCTGTTAAAATTATTGACACAGTAGATCGGGCACAATTGCCAGCACAGAAGTTTGACCACCAATATCTCTAAATATACAAAGGAATAAGTAAAAGAGAAATCGATAGCTTAAAATATACATTGACAAACTTAACAACATTTATATGATAATTTTTGTTTCATCACATATTACTATATTAGTAACAAAATATGCTTAACGTAAGAATGCGAATAGTGCAAAGAGTCAAATTGTGTTAATTATTCTGAAACAGACATAGCATATTATTAGTTTACTACTTTACTCCTATAGTTTTACCTCATATTATTAGTTCACTCCTATAGTTTTACCTTCACATTGCTCTTCTTCCACCAAGAGTATAACATTAGTATAACACCTAGCAGGTTAAGGGACAAGGCTTATTGATTCAATTTCACTTGCAGTCTTGTAGACAACCTAATAAAGGTATTTTTTTTTAAACACGCGCGCGCGCACACACATACACACATACACACAAAACTGAATTGTTATAAAGCGATTTGACAAACCTTAACGCCTTTACACCCATGTCAATTAGGTATGCCTGATGCTCCTCATTGCCATCACAGACTTGCTTCAGTTCCTTAGTGTAGTAAACAATATCATCACGTATATGTCCTGCCCCAGCACATCTTTAAAGATAACGCAAACAAAATTTTAACATGACAAATCAAGTAAAAACAATGGCATTTCAATAAAGTAATGGCTTAATAAGTTTCTTACAGTGCACATGATAACCAGAATTCCAAGGGCATGGAGGGGAGGGAGAGATTGGAGCAAAAAAGTAATAAAGCCGAGACAACAAATATATCTCTGAAAAATGGCTAACCCATAAGTTGGGTATCAAACACCTCAAATGGCAATAATGCAATCGGTCTGTCCTCAACAACTAAACAAATAAATTATTAAGTAAAATTCAATTTTAATCAGTAAAAATCAATACTTCCTCTGTTCCACAAATAATGCAACAAGGATGAAATAACGCATCTCAAAGCACACTTTATATGCTGAATATCTATAATTAGATAAGAGTAAAAATTATAATAGTTGATATTGTGAAAGTATATTACGAGACGAATCTAAAAAAACCCCACATGACTACATTTTACTTTATGTATAAGTCATAACACGTGATCAAACAAGTGTGATGAATAGAGTAAAAGTCCAGTTGTTGCAATAATACTAGAACGGAGGAAGTAAATAAGCAAGAGTTTATTTTATTAAGTAATTCAATTAAGTTAAATCAGCAAAAATAATTTAAATCAATAAAAGTAAATTAATTTTTTATCAATAAATGTAGATTTAGGTGAAGAGAGCAAGACCTTATTATGAAATGTCATCGAACATTGTAATTATCATATTGTCCTCTAAAAAAGCCCAAACTCATTTCCAATCAAATTTCTATAATATTTATGTGATTGATATTATTAACTCATCCCATTTGTCCCAAGCTAATTTTATCTATCCTGAAGTTATTAACTACAATAACTTATCATCTACTCCCTCCATTTTCTTGTAGCTACGCAAACCTAGAAAAAAAGGAAAAGGGGACCATGCATGTGGGTACTTTTTCTTTAAAGAGGAGAGAGATAAAGAGTATGGGTTTCATTAGATAAATTTGGGCCTTACAAAGTGGAGTTGTATAGGATGAAAAATTAATAAAAAGTTATCATAGTAAAACTGAGTTGAACTTAGCAAATAGAATGTAAACGGAAAACGAGTAGAGCTTAGAATGAAAAAGGAAGTACACATAAAAAAATCCACCATCTTAGCTCCAATTACATGTACCATTTCAATTTAAAATAATTGAAAAATACACATCATGATTGGTGTCAAAACTATTATGAAACGGTTGGAGTTTCAATAATAAACCTGGTTGCCTTAGTTTCAAGGCCATTTTAAAATGTAATACAAATGGACTTAACTCCAAAAGGATTTGTGACTAAAAAATTAGTTATAAATTTCTAGCATGTCTCTCCATTTACTGACCAAATCATCTAAAGTAATACCTACAAACCCCTTTGAAATCACCATGACACACAGCAAACAAGTACATTTCATCGGTCCATCCCAACAATCTGGTAGCCATGAAAAAGATAAAACTCTTAGTAAAATTGATAGTGCTTCCTAAACCCTAAACCCTAAACCCTAAACCCTAAACCCTAAACCCTAAACCCTATACCCGAAACCCTAAACCCTAAACCCTAAACCCTAAACCCTAAACCCGAAACCCTAAACCCTAAACCCTAAACCCGAAACCCTAAACCCTAAACCCTAAACCCTAAACCCTAAACCCTAAACCCTAAACCCTAAACCCTAAACCCTAAACCCTAAACCCTAACTTTAAAAATCCTAAATAGGGACCATGTTAAGATTTTTGCAATTTTTATTTCTGGGCGATATTAGTCAAAAAAATTCCTAAATTTAAGGCTAATATCCACACATTTTGAGAAATTTCGAAGGTTTCAGGGCTAGGTGTCGAAAAGAAATGAGATTTTATTGAATACATTTTGGGGTCATATAATGACGTTTGAAACCATGAATGACCATTATATATTGTCATAAATGTTCGTGGTAGGCTTGAGTTAATGAAATAAGTACAAGTTGTAAACCAGTAAATTGCTCGTTTAAATGCAAATTGGATGGTTCCACCCACCTAATTGGACTACCGGAGGGTATTAGGAATCATGGTAAACATTTCGCCAATTTTTATTTTCAGGCGAAAAAAAGTTAAAAAAAAATTCCAAAATTGAAGACTAATATCCACGCTTTTTCATAAAGTTTGGAGTATTCAGGGCCCGGTGTCTAAAAGTGTAAAATTTCTAGGGAATACATCTCGGAGTCATATAATGTCGTTTGGAACCATATGTGATCATTAATTATTTGTCATAAATGTTTCTTGTAGGCTTGAATTAATGAAATCGGTGCAAAGTTGTAAACCGGTTATTTTTTTGTCATAAATGTTCTTTGTAGGCTTGAGTTAATGAAATCGGTGCAAGTTGTAAACCGGTAAATTGATCATTTAAAAGGAACTTGGATAGTGCCGCCCATATGAGATAAAATAATAAACTTTAGTGAAAGAATCACCCTAATAAACTTCATTCTAGGGAAAAAGCAACTTTTGTTCTTTAGAATTCTATGAAGACCTGACATTATTATCATAAACATGTAAGTAACTTTCGTGAATGAATCACAATAAAACCTTAAACAAGCTATTCTACATTTTGACTCGCTTTTGTGATTTATGATAATATATAGTCATATCTTTTATGCGGTTTTGTTTGAATCGTCTCGATATATATTTTATTAATATTCACTTTTTATTATTTTACAAAGTACTTGTATAAGATATAGATTTGTGAAGTTATCATTTTGAATTAAAACCTTCATTTTATGGAATAATCAACTTTCATTTTTTCAAATTTCAAAAAGACCGGGCTATATGTTGCAAAGTTGAGATTTCTATTAAGGACCTCAACTTTAAGGGAAAAATGAACTTTTATGTTTCAAAATTATAAGATGGCATGACTATATATCATGAAAATACAAAAAAACTTTTGTGAAAGAACACCATAAAGTATTTTACGAGTTTAGAGTCATGGGGTCGCAAATTCTAGATTCGATTCAAGACCTCAATTTTAAGGGGAAAAATGACCCCCTTTTTTTTTGGGTATTCTAAGAAGATGGGGCTTTATATCGTTTAAGTATACTATCGTAAAATATTAATCTTTTAAGGGCTTTATATGGTCACAAAGTTGAGATTTCGAATTAAGGTCTCAATTTTAAGGGGATGATGATCTTTTGTTGCTTAGAATATTGATAAAACGTGACTTTTACATGGGATTATTCAACGGCTAAAATTAGAAAAATTAAGTTTTAAAAAATAAATAAATAAACTAAATTTGAACTAAACATAGCCAAAGCCCAAAAGGCAAAGGACATTTTTCCAAAACAGAGAATATTAAATACTACAAACTTCAGAGGTTAAAGTTATCTTAATAGTATTTAAAAAGTTACTATTTTTCTAATAATAAATTCCATCTTACAAAAAACTTATAATGTGGTAGCTAATCATATTAATGTATCTAATTAGGTTGTCATTTCCCTCTATCTCTCCCCATTACATGCATCAATAATTGAGCGTGAGGGATAGCTCAAGTAGTTAGAGCTTCTCTTCCTATTCCAGGAAGTCTCGAGATCGACTCTCATCACCTGTCTTTATGGCTCTCTAAACACCAAAAACAAACATGCATCCCTATTTTTCTCTCTATTTTACGCTTACAACAAATTATACTTAGAATTCCGTGCACACTCCAAAATTGCAAACAATATGAAATTGAGTTAGTATGTACAAATTTCATGACATCCGAAAACAGGACATTACATTTTTATTAGAAGATTGGATCGTAACCTTGTCAACAAGACTAATGTAAATTTTTCAGGCAAATTAAATGCAAGAAATACATGACAAAATAACTTTGTACAATCTATTCACATGCAGAAAATAACTTTATATAAAAGAATATTGTTATTGTTTTGAAATTATTTATCAATTCTAAGGTGATCACAGAGATAGCCCAGTTCAGGCCGAGAATCCATCCAACTTGAGAATGTAGTCTCAGCTCCATCAACACAATAAAGGTACGACCTCAATGTTATCAGAAAAAAATACCTCCTGCAAATTGAATTAGGAAAATTATTTTGCAGTTAAAGAGAGAGATCTTGTACTGTAGCAGCAGCAACAACAACAAAACAATACAGTCTTAGTCCCAAAATGATTTGAGATTGGCTAAAATGAATCGTCATAAGAAACCGTCTGAAAAAATAAAAGATAGAAAATAATTGATTGAATAAAATAAAAGAGGGAAAACAGTGTAGAGTGAAAAACAGTTTCAGTTTTTTAAGAGTTTAAAAGGAGTGGTGAAGGGATAAAAAGGAGAAAAAAAAAACATAAAAAATTGAGAAAACATTAACAAAGGAAACAAGTAAAGCTTGAAAAACACAAATTATTTAAGTAAATTAATATAAAATAAACAAAAAAAAGGGGATAAAAAAGTAGGAAAAAAAATAAAAGCGTCCTTGACATGATCACTGAAACAAATAATAGGAATATATATATATATATATATATATATATATATATATATATATATATATATATATATATATATATATATATTATATATATATATATATATATATATATATATATATATATATGCTTCGTATTAGAAACGGATCAAAGGAAACAATAGAAGAAATTATAATAGCATGATCCAATGGAAGAACCCAAATTTACAAAGATAAATAGCAGAAACACAATTAAACTTATACCAAGGGAAACGAGTCACATTATAGCAGACATGGCTGGTATACGGAACATGAAGAGCATTATATCTCAGATTCTTGGTACAACCCATATGCTAATATTGGAGCAAGTACAACTGTACAAGACAACTAAATGTCCATATTTGTGCGGTTGTGCCCCATCTTACTGCAAATTTCTCCATTTCGTGAGCCACATACGTCTCAAATTTTTATCATTATAAATTCATCAATGACGCAATCCCAACTACCACCATCTCATTAAGTAACCTTTAATCATCTTTGCTTTCAAGGAAAAATGAACATCTTAAACTATGCTTAACCTCCTTCAAATAGCCCTAGCTTTTGATTAATAGGAATAATCCCAAGTGCCCCAAATTCAGGGGTGCCTTCCTCTAAAAAGATCAACATACGTGGCATCATGTAGTCGGCCTTGGCTCCCTTTTATATTTTTTTCATAATCAATTCCTCTATTACCTCCTTTTTCTTCATAGACCACAAGCTCACAGCCTTAACACCATCCTCTACCTCATCCCACTCTCTTCTCCCCCTTACCCCTCCGTAAGCATATAGACAACCCTAAACAAATTCCCATCTTCAGCCACTTGCACATAAATACGCCTCCTACACTTCATGCTTTTTTTCAAAAAAAACAAGTCTTGATTTTGAGAGGCATATGAGATAGTATTATGAAGTGGAATTAATTTTTGATGCAACGATGGATTAATATTGATCCAATGCACATCATGGTATCCCTTCATATAAAATTAAAATAACCACACACAAGATTTTAGAGACTTTGGTTGCTAGTTGATGTCTTAGATAGCCGAATTTGATGTTTCCACTGCTATTGCCTATAATGCCAATATTGGCTTATAATTGACATCTATTTATTTTTATCAAAGTGTTTTTTTCCCCTCCTGCAAGGTGGTGAGTGAGTCGCTTCTGCTTATAAGACTAGATATGTATCACCATTGAAAAAAATCCTCTGCTCTAGGCAGATTATTGAGGGTTTTTTTTTTTTTTTTTTCTTTTTTGGTGTCTGGTGTTGACGGTAATGGTTTAGAAAGAAAGGGGTGCGGGAAAGTCGGGCTAAGGGATTGGGGTTTCACCGTCAATTGGTGGTCATAATAGTGGTGAGGAAAGAAGAGGGAGCCTGAAGACAGGCCAGGCGAGGGGTGATTCACCAGAGTGAGAAGGGAAAGAAATATGGAGTACTTTCGAAATTTTTTAGAAAAGAGGAGAGGACTAATGAGGATTAATATTGATCCAATGCACATCATGGTATCCCTTCATATAAAATTAAAATAACCACACACAAGATTTTAGAGACTTTGGTTGCTAGTTGATGTCTTAGATAGCCGAATTTGATGTTTCCACTGCTATTGCCTATAATGCCAATATTGGCTTATAATTGACATCTATTTATTTTTATCAAAGTGTTTTTTTCCCCTCCTGCAAGGTGGTGAGTGAGTCGCTTCTGCTTATAAGACTAGATATGTATCACCATTGAAAAAAATCCTCTGCTCTAGGCAGATTATTGATGGGTTTTTTTTTTTTTTTTTTTTTTTTGGTGTCTGGTGTTGACGGTAATGGTTTAGAAAGAAAGGGGTGCGGGAAAGTCGGGCTAAGGGATTGGGGTTTCACCGTCAATTGGTGGTCATAATAGTGGTGAGGAAGGAAGAGGGAGCCTGAAGACAGGCCAGGCGAGGGGTGATTCACCAGAGTGAGAAGGGAAAGAAATATGGAGTACTTTCGAAATTTTTTAGAAAAGAGGAGAGGACTAATGAGG